TCCCGCCCGCCGTTCCGGCCTCCCTGCGCCCCGGGCCGGCGGCGTGGGGACACCCCACGCACACGCACACGCACCCGGGAGGGAAACGCACGCGCACACCCGAGAAGCACAAGACACACCTGGGAGGGGGAAACGGACACGCACACCTGGGAAGCAGAACACACGCGCGTACACACCTGGAAGGGAGGGACACGCCAGAGAAGTAGAAAACACGCATATACACCTGGGAAGCAGAAAACGCACACACGACACGAAGGAGGGGGGTGGGGACACACCTGGGAAGCAGAAAACACACACATACACACCTGGGGGGGAAATGCACGGCGGGGAGGGGGGACACACCAGAGAAGTGGAAAACATACAGACACACCTGGGAGGGGGAGACGCACACCTGGGAAGCAGAAAACACACACATACACACCTGGGGGGGGAAACACACACACAAAGTGGGGGCCAGGCGGAGAAGACACACACACCTGAGAGGGGGAAACGCATGCAGGCTCCCCAGGCAGCGAAGCCCTGGGCCAGAGCCGCACCCAATGCAGCCAGCAGCGGGCTCAGCTGTGCAGAGACTGACACAGCCTGGCCCCCGCCCCACAGAGAACACAGTCCCACGCAGCTAAAGGCCTGGGAACAGCGCACTGGGAGACTGCTCTGCGTGATGTGTGGACGGGGGAGCACGTGCTGTATAGCATGTGAAACACAGCTGCAGACTCTCTCCCTGTACCTTGTATCGTTCCAGTGATGGTGTAGCCAGGGCAGTCCAGGAATTATGAGGCAAGGATTTCTGTGGGTGATGCCTCTGAGTTGACCAAATGCCTGGTTTGGGATAGAGTTAAACGAGACCTGAAGATGAATGTGCTGAATTTGAAAGGTTGTCTAACTTCCCAACTATGCAATTGGTCCAGTAAAAGATATTCACCCTAAGAAATCTTTGCCTCTCTCCATATACACTCTCCACATAATAACGTACACAAGCACACATTCATTTGCGTGCCCACAACACCATACACATATAAGGGGACGTTATGGGTATGCCAGGAAAAAACAACTGATTTAAGATCAACTGGTAAATGATGCAAATGGTATATGTTGAAGAAACCAACCCAAACAAAATAAAAGATCAGGACTCATCTATATTCACTATATTTATTCACTTACATGTTCAGCTGACCCCTCCCAGCTCTTCATGTTTTGGCTTTGGAATATTAGCCCTTTAGGACAAAGCCTGTCCCTTTACTGTAGGTGTATACTACACTACAGACCACCAAACCAGGAGGAGGAACTCAATCTGGAGTTGGTGCTCGGTCCAGTGCTTTTCAACATCTTTATTAACAATTTGGATGTGGGGGTGAAGAACTCACTGGCCAAGTTCGCGGATGACACCAAGTTATGGGGCAGTGTGTTCATGCTTGAAGATAGGCCACAGTTACAGGTGCACCTAGACAGGCTGGCAAGTCGGGCGGATCGGAACCTGATGAGGTTCAACGTCAAGAAATGTGAAGTGCTCCACCTCAGGACGAGCAACCCCCAACACACCCACAGGCTTGGCAGCATCAAACTGACTAGCACCATGAATGAAACAGACCTCGGGGTAATAATAGACCACAGTATGAATATGAGCCGACAGTGCGATGCTGTAGTCAGAAGGGCAAATAATACTCTGGCATTCATCAATGGATGCATCTCCAGCAAAACCAAAGGAGGTTATTCTTCCGCTCTACTCAGCACTGGTGAGACCGCAGCTGGAGTACTGCGTCCAGTTCTGGGCACCACACTTTAACAAGGATGTGGACAAGTTTGAGAGAATCGAAAGAGCCGCCCATATCATTGGTGATGCGTAGGGAGATTGGCCCTGAGACTGGCCATGCACCCCCTGAGATTGGCCAACGCTGCCGGCAGCA